AGGCAAACTGTGCTTGGGCCTCTCTGAGGTGGAACTGTAAGGGAAAAATGGAACAGCAGGCTTTGCTTGGGAAGTGAGGCTTCATATTTTGTATTCTTAGACCTGGTGTGTGTGTGCAAATGGTGCTGAAAAGGAGGCATTTCTGCTTTTGTGTTTCTATCCATTCCAATCAATGAGTGCTGCACGTATGCTGTAGAGGGGAAGGAGCAGGAATTACTGTAGCATGTACTTTGTCCCAAAGGGATATTAACTTGCAGTAATGCCTCCTCAACAGAAAGAGCCATCAAGTCAAACAGGCAGTCAGGGAGAGCTGAACATGGGAATACTGTCCATTCAAAACACCACCATTTGAGCTCCTTGTTAGGAGCCTTTGGCTTCACTGAGGCTCAGGTTGGGGGCTGTACAGTTAGAAGTGTAGCACAGTCTTCCAGGAGCAGTGCTAGCCCTGAGGAACACCCGGGTCACTCTCCACGTAAGATATGAAATCAGAATGCATACAGCTCTGCAAAGTTTTCACTCTGTCTTCTGAACAGCTACTTGAGCAGAAATGTCCTCTGTCATTTTTATCTGTGCTCTGCTTAGTACTGTCATGGCTCTGTTGACTTATACCCTGATGTGATTTCTCCAGTGCAATTTTCCTCACCGGTGGAGAGTTAAGCCAGTCCTTAACACGACTAGCTTAGGGAAGAAAAACAAACAAACAAAAAACAAACCAAAAAAACCCCCCAAAAAAATGTGTCTGTGAAGATGCTGCCTGTTAATATGACTTGTAATTAGTATGTCCTGGATCTGCATTCAAGAGGCAGAATTTCAGTTAATCTCTTTAGCCGTCGGGAGTTCCCACTTAATGCAACAGGGGAAAGCCAAATGGTGGGGCCTCTGCAGCTGTATTCCCCAGCCCCTCTGGTCTCTGAGAAAAATGACTCATGGATTGGTTTCTGCGGATCAGTGGCCATCATCCTCTGCAAGGAGACTTAGTTGCCAGGACAACTGTTGCCAAGACAGGCTGGTTTTCCTTGGGAACAATTTCAGTGCGTTATTTCTGTAAAGCAAACCATCTCCTGTGTCTATTGTTAGACTCATGTGAGAACCTATTGGAGTTCTAGCTCTAGGCGGAAATTAGGAAACAGAAGGAGAGAAAAACATGTCTAATTACCCAAAGGTAGTTTGCAGCCCTAAATGGATCTGCACAAAGTTCGTGGTCTCAGACTGTACATGCATTCTGCAAACATGGGCCCCAAAATACAGTGTTGGAAGCCTCTTCAAGCCATGAGATCAAAATTAATTTCCGAGTTTACAATTATCTTCAAAAATATTTAGTTGGGAATAGGATAAGGTCCTTGAGGATATTCTGTATTGTAGTACATAGCTATGAAAATTCTTATAATTGAGTACATTGGCTGTGGTCAACAGTCTGCATCTGCTGGAAGCAATAGATTCCAGCACCTCACCTGACCTGGGAAATGCTGGTGGTTTTTGGAATGACTGACATGCCCTCAAAGGACCACTCCATTCCTTTGAAATTGCTTGTGAGTTTTGTGTCGTCTGAGAGATGCCTTAGCTTCACTCTCTTAGTGTTAACGGTATATATGCAACAGTCAAGAATCCCTCTTGTTACAGAGGCTTTTGGCATTGAATACTTTTGGAAAACGTCTTTGATTATTGTATAATATTAGATAATATTCAACTTAATGGATGTAAGCTAGTTAAATGGATGAACTACTTCAGTGAGAAATACAAAGGAAACAAATTTAACACTGTTCTTGATGTCCACCAGAGGTCACTTACAGGCCACTTTATTCCTTATTGGCTGTGCTTTCACTTGCCTAGTTAGCATCTGTCCTTTCCCATCCTAAATAATTCTGGATGAGCTGTGCAAATGCAGGTCCTGAAGACCCTGCTGATGATCTTGAATCTTTTCTATAATCATTAAGAAACAGAAAGTCAAAATCCTGCCGAAACATTAAAAAAAAAAAAAGGAAAAAGTGCAGGAACTTCATTGATCCCATAATCTCTGTAGGTAATCTCAGTAACTACACCATGCTTCGCAAGATTTGCTGTGCATGTTAAAGAATTTTCAGCGCAAACAGACTCTACCCTGTATTACTAAATCTATGTGGGATTCTTATCTGGATTTTTATCTGCTCAATCTTCACAAAACATTTCTCAATGTGCACTTAAATTGAGAAGCAAAATGTGTTTACACCTTTTGATAATTCAAATGTATGTGAATCTCAGCTGTTGCATGCTTGTGGAAGCCTTTATGTCACAGATTTTTGTTGCCACATGAACAAAACCCTCAAGAGGTCTTTACCTGACTGAACAGTTGTCAAATGTGAACAATTCATCCAACTCTGGCAAAAGATGCTATTCTGCATCTTCTGTTGTGGCTACAGTGAAAAGCTGGAAATCAGACACGGTGTTTAGTGAGCCCTTAAGCATCAAGAAAAAGCCTGTGTTTGAAGCAGTCTGAATAGAAAATAACCCCATTCTGTTCATGTTTCATTTACAACAGATGGAAGAAAAGCAAAGGAGTGAGAAGGTTCGTGTTCCCCCAAGACAAATAAAGGGTAGAACTTCCCCATTAGTTTATAGGCCCGCTAGCCCCATAGTTAGATTATGTGCTCTGAACGTTGTATGAATGGCATTTATTTTTGTTTTGTTACTTTTTGTTTTGTTACTTTTTGACAGCAAGATTTAGCCACATCTTGCACAGAGCAATATAGCACTGAGCAGTTCAGGACCATACACCCATGGAAGCATCAGCATATTTTTTGTTTGATTCGGTTGACTAAATATCAAGGTGTAAACTCTGGTTTTATCATGAAGCACTTCAATTTATCTTTGTATGTGGGTATGCTGGAGCAGGAAAATCCCTGTGAAATCCTCTGTCTCTCCAGCTCCTTAATTTTTCTGATATTGGGACAAGATTGTAGCTGCTTTCAAATATAAAGGTGTAAATTATGTCATGATTTTACACTGTGCTTAGTTTTCCAGTTGTGCTAAACAATGCATTCTTTGCAGGTGTCAAACAGAAAGCTAGGTAAAAACTGACTTGGTGGCTGGATAAAAACTTTTCTTGATTGATGGATGGCCCATACACAGATACATTACAAATGTATAAGTTAAATTCCCTTAAATCTCTATGAAGGTGAAGACAGAAGTTGTTTGACTTTATAGTTGAACTTTTAGAATGTAGGTAAAGCAGAACAGCTGACTAGGGATGGTAAGAATAGCATCTGGATGTTATCTTTGTTCTGAATCTTGTGCTTTTAAAGCTCAGATCTCATAGCTCAGGTGGCAGGAAGCTCAGCCAGCAAATTTTCAGAAGAGGAGAAACTCGGTACGAGTGTTCTTAATAGTCAGTACCCCAAGTGAGGGATCTTGTGTGAATTGCGAACTTTGTCTGAATTTCAAACAATACTTCCTCTAAGTTAAGCAGGTTGTTTGGATTTTTTTGGTCTGGTCTGTTTCAGAACTGTCTCATTCTTTTACAGCTTCTGCAAAGATTATATGCTCAGTTTTGCAAACTCCAAAGTACAGACTCAGCACCTCTGCAAAGTCTGTTTTTAATAAGAAACAGGAATAGTTTTTTGTCTATAAGCTTAGGTTCAGACTAGTATGCAGTTATTTAAAGTTTGAGTGACGGGAAAGTGGTACAAAATTCCGCTTTATTCCTAGTTTGTCAGCTGTCTCTCCCAGGACAGAAAAATAAAGAATATCTAAGTCTCATTAATATCTACTGGAAACTTGCTGGAATCTGCTTCTTTAGGTCTTTATTTTTATAAATAGACATGAACTCAGAGTACTATACATGCTGATGCTTATGCTGTCTAGTTCCTACCATGAATGAAGGGTGAGACACTGTAATAATAATTATAGTATTATTTCTCTTCCTACTTACCTGTGTTATTACTATGGCATTGTTCCTAGTGTGTACCGCTATATAAATTCTCTCTGCTCTCACAAGTAGTTGATACTTTTACCTTGCTCTTAACACATAGAGCAGACATGGGACATCAAAAGATTTTATCATTAACGAGGGTTGGCTCAGGGTACTAGCCCAAAATGTGAAGCAACTGTTCATCTGTGCAGTCTCTGTGGCAGGCTGACAAGTGAAAAGAGGTAGATAAAGAGTTTCAGCTCTGCTCCATCCTCCCTACCGTGCAGAAGTATGGATACATGGTAGGTTACACTGGCAAGGGATAAATCACTACTAATTCAGATGAAAAAGATCCTACATAGGACAGCTTCCACTTTAGATCTAAGAGCTCTAATTAAACTCACTGTATGCACACCTATTAAGAATTGTGCTCCATAATGCCTGGTCTGAGGTTTTTGTGAAATAAGGTTATTCCTAGGATTTTGTTCTTCTGAAGTCTTTAATCCTGACTCTAGTTGTCTCAATGAAAAGTTTGAAATACTTTGTAGACTCCTGGTTTGGGGAAAAGAACACTGTTGGTCTGACATCAAAGGGAATCAATGAACTATCTGTGCATTTCTATCCACTGCTTTAGCCATATGTTCTTTTGCAAGTGTCTAGAAGCTGTCACCCTGCTATGCTGTGATGAAAATAATTGGATATAGTTCCCACTTCTGTTATTCCCATATCATATTACTGCTGGTGAAGAGTACTCAAAACTGATGGCTCCAAAAGCAAGTTTGAAACTTCAAAAGCCAAGTGCTTTCATGTGCTGAGCTGCTTGCTTCTCCAAGGAAATCTGCAGAGAGCTGCACCATATATCAAAGAGCAGCCAGACATAAGACCATTCCCCCAAATAAATTATATGCAGAAAGAAGGTACATTCAAGGATCTAAATAGGGAGGAACTTGGTGCTCAAACTGGGAATCAGGAGAACCAAATAATTCTGGAGGAAGGGAAGGCTGCATAGAAACAAGACCATAGAAAATGAAGTTACAAATCCAGTGAAGAAAGACTTTTAGTCATTTGTGAATACTAAGCCACCTGCCCTTATGATTTTTTTTTTTTTTGTCACTTAATGCAGGAATTTACAATAGTCCTTGAGGTTTGGATAACACGTAAACATACTGGTTTTACCACAGCTTAGTAAAGTTTCTACTGTGTGATAAACTATGTTTTACGAAGATGGTGTCCTGACCTGGTGAGAACTAGGGGGAAATTGCTTAGAATCGTGTCTGGTTCATACTTCTGCTGTTGCAGGCAAGGAACCTTCAGGGAAGTTCAGCAGACATTCAATGAATCAGACATTTTTGTGGGGTACAAGGTTACCAGATGAGCGCTGGATGCCATGTATTGACAGCATATAGATACTACAGTTGGTACTGGGCCAAAATAGCAAAGGTCAGTGTGGAAATTTCAACTTCCTGTTTAAAAAAATAAATCTCTAATTACAATTGTCTGTTTAATGATGTTGACACTACAATGTTGTTGTCAAATCATGGATGACAAACAGCACTGCTCTGAGCTGATGTTTTAATTTTACTTTTACTGGGACTGAATTTATTCTAGCTCCTGAACTGGAAAGAAACAAGGGCAGCCTGACAGCCTACAATATCTCTATCTGATGCCACCACATCAGAGAACAGCCCCAGAAATGGGATCTTGGGAATAAAATCACTCTTGACACTGCTGCAGGGATGGAGAGTTTGAATTGGTTTTTGCAGATGGAGATGTCTAACACACCTTCCTCTGGCTAAGGAAATTTTCTGCAAACAGAATTACCCAAGACATCTCTTCCTCAGCATTATATTTTATGTTATGAATTTGCAGAGCTATCCCGGGCGATATCCCACATACTATTCTTGCTACTGTACTTTTCATGTCCACACAATGGTTCCATAGCCAGCTGGACAGTGCAAGCTCTATTGAGAAGTTTATTCTAATCACTGACTATATCACTAGCATTATAGTAAGGCAAGTAGTAAACGATTTACTCAAAAGTTTGAAGGTATATTCCTTCACCCAATGTTGTTTATCCAAATCCTGCAACCCATTTTTAAACATAAATGGGTATGTTTGAGTTGGTCAAGTTTTTTCCAGGGATAATGCAGAGTATACTGCAGGAAGGGCAGTCACTGCAGTCAAACAAGCCCCAGATATCCTTCCCTTTCCTAGGTTATTCAAAAATGAATCCATTGACTAAATAAAGGGGAAAAACCTTTCAGTCAAAACTGTCAGTGTTTGCAGTTGTCCTGATTTTTTTGTTTTTTCATTTGTACTGTAACACAGCCAATGTCTGTCCAAGGCTAGGCAAAGAGCAAAGGGCTCAATCCCAGAATGCTGTATGCAGTACCGGTAAATAGAGGTGGTAAGACTGAGGTAGGCAATCATTAGAATTGTGCAAGACAGAGATAAGCCAGTAAGCAACCTCTTCCCAAAATAAAGCATAAAATTACAGCTTTTAGTAGAAATGTAGGGGATTTTTTTTTTTTCCTCTGGATAGTCTTGTACTCATAGTAAAAATCCAGCAAGTTTCTGTTCCATTTCTTCTCTGCTACGGTCTGTTGTGCTGGCTGTCAGGGAAGCCAGTGGTGTGATAAGAGTTTCACTGTGTACTGATCAAGAAAAGGTAATTGGTAAGTAAAGATCTCTTTTGCTGTGATAAGTATTTGACCATACTGAGACGATGAAACCCTTGTAGGCTCAGACATGCTGGTTAGAAAGGACTTTTGTAGGCTGCCCTACTGGAGCACATCAAGCTGATGAGGAGGTCTGTTAGTAGGATGTAATCTGTCAGTTTAATAGCGTTATGTCCCCGAGTATTCTCTGTATAAATGTAATATCTGCTTTTGAGGAGCAGTTTCCCTAGTATTTGACTTCAATAGGGCTGTGCTGTGCTGTCAGGCTCTCAGGTTTCAGGCTCGGAGCTGTCACCTCCAGACTAGGTCTGGAACAAGGACTCCCTGCTGCTTCTTCCCGGGTCCTTTCCCTGCTGTTACCGGCATTGGGTGAATCGTGTCCTAAAGCACTTTTTATGGAGGAACAAAAGAATACCTGAGACTTACGTCTTTAAATAGGACCTCCAGAACTAGCTACCTCCTAAATATAAGTTTCATGGCATCTTTCAAGGCATAATTCTGATCTCTGATGAGAAAGTCTGCAACTATGTAAGCTTTGGGACCTGAGGACTGTCATTACATCCACACTTAGTGTGATCCCCACTTAGTGGGATTCTCCATCTTATGCAAATATAAATATGGATTGCAAAACCTGTTTTTTTCTATTTCAGTTCCCTAAGATTTACTCCACTTTTGTGAGAAATTTGGAATATTTTGCTTTTTTATCTAAACCATTGATGGTGCAAATTATCATTAGTCTCTCTGGGAAGTGATTTCATTGCTTGGAAAACCCACCACCAATTTGCCAAAGGTAAACAGGCACTTTGGCTCTCCTAGAATAAAGTATTGGGATGGTCAACTTGGAAATCTTTGGGGGTAAGCGGATCTTGGCTTCTGGCAGACAAAACCAACAAAGGTTTGTGTAAAGTTGAATCTCTGTAAGGACAGGACTTCTCTGAGAACTTGACATTTTGTTTTCAAGTTTTCTTTTATTGGGCCATTATTTTGGTCTTTGTCTTGCTGCTTTCATGGGAGACAGCAGCAATGTCAGCTTCCTTGGTACTGTGGTACTGGATAATTAACATAGTATAAAAATCCAGCAGAAGGAAAACTTTAGAGGGCTGTTAAGAACTTCATGGACTGTTGAGTCCATGAAGCTGCATAAGAAATGTAAACCATGATTCAAGTTTTATTATACTAGTAAGCTAAATAAATACCTTTCCGTCTTTTATTTTGGTGTATGCCATTGCCCCAGATTTTGATGAGAGCCTAATGCAGGAAGCACAAAGAGGTGTACAGAAAAGTGGTGCTTCTTAAATTCTGCTTTTTGTCCTAATGATAATGTTCTCATGGTAATATGCTAGTGATTATATTTTATATTGTACTTTATCAGATGAAACATGACAGGGGAAGCTGCTCTCTGTGGGTAATTTTTCTGAAGCTTAGAATACAGAGAAATAATTGAGGTGACTAGCAAAATTCACGCTGGATTTTATTTTCTCTCCATACCCTGATCTGTCAACCAAATGATGCTTTCTTAGGCTTGTTTTTCATTTTGACTGGTAGAACTGGGAGAAAATAAGGCAAATTGACTTTAGTATGTGGCTTATTTGGTATAAAAGTTTGTCAGCTCATGTGTGTGGTAGTTTCATTTGTTTCTTTTTCACATAAACACAGAATACATGGAACATGATTGCCTCAAATTTGACCGTCCTTAAGGACAATTACTGTGGTGCAGCTTGTCAGAACACCATTCAGTGCTTTACCTTATGAAGTTACTGCTGTTGTTCTGCTCAGAGAGGGCAGCAAACTGTTGCAGATCTGGGATCCAAGAGGACTTCAGCTCTGAGGTGTAATGCTGAGGAAGAAATGCATCTTATTTATATACAAGGTCAGAAAGGAGAAATTGGGAGGCAATCAGATTATTACTACTTAAATGCACTTAAGCTTTTTGTCCTTTAATTTTATGGGTGTTTGCTAGTAGTGGAGATGTTATCAAGGGAAACAGCTTAATGACTCTAAGCTTAGACATACAGCAATCCTGACAGCTGTGGAAATGAGTCCCAGCAGAAATACAGTATCTGGAGAGTTCAGGATTCATCCCAAACTGGAATACTGTATGACTCATTTTGCATGAAGAGAAATGTTTTAAATTTAGACATACAATGAACAAAACATTGAAATGGACTTGCAGCACAGTGAGACGGATGACTGTTGCTATATTAGTTGTTTACATTACACCTTGAAATTTTCAGATTCTTATAAGCTTGGTTGTTCCTTTTCTGGTTTCTATACACAAAGATACAAGCAGAAGCTAGTTTAAATGGTTCAGACACAATCCCTTGCTCCTTTTTTTTTTTTTTTTTTTTGCCTGAAGACACGAGTGTACTTCCTAGGCAATGCAGGCAACTCTTTCCTAGGCAACGCCTTAAAATTATGTAAATGGAGAAATTTATGAAATTACTCTGCTTGATTTGCACCAGATCTGTGGACTTAGTAATGACTCTTCTTTTGTCTTTCAGTGTTAATGGTAACAAGTTCAGTTAACGCAGATAAACCTGAAGAGAAAATTGATTCCTGCCCATAATTCAGTGCAGTGCTCTTGCAGTCAATGGCTTACCAGGCGGAGATGGAAGGGGTGGTCCCAAAGGTGCAAGGGGAGAACCAGGTGCAAAGCTATGACCATTTAACAGTATTGTAGAGGTGACACACCTTATCATCCCTTTAGTCTTGTTTCATGCCTCCTTCGTTATTTCATTTTGTCTTTTTACTTCTCTCCTTCTGCCCCATTAACCTTTTGTAGGCTCTGCACAATTTCAGGAAGCTGAAAATGCTTTCTCTGTTTATAATGTTACTCTAGATACTCGGCTTTTAATAAATAAAAAAACACAATACATTTTCACAGCAGCTCATAAAACAGAGATGTAATGAGATTTTAATCTGTTGTACCATTTGTACTCTGAATCTCTTACAGAGTTTCCTGTGTTAGCCTACTAAATCATTATAGCTTTTTTTTTTATTTCCAGGGGCCAGCTCTTAAAACCAGAAATCATGCTTGGTAGAGTTGGATACTAACCTGATAGTTATAACTTGATTGCTTCATCCTCACTAAGTCCCAAGAACAGAATTCTCCGAAGGCATGATTTGTCAGGTAACTTTTTTCATGCTTTTTTTTTTGTCAGGTAACTTTTTTCTATCATGTGGTAGAACCAAGTCACCTGCTTTCTCAAGTTGCCAAATCATAGTTTCTGTCCAAACACTTAGGAAGTACATATGGAATCATATATTTTCTTATGGTATCATGTCTGTGTTATCATGTATATCACACATCTTGTATTTAGACAATTGCTTCTCAACCTCCACGCAAATTCCCATCATTATTGATACCACTTGATATAAACTATGACATAAAATTTCAGTGGCATATATTGATATTCTGTATAGACATTTTCTGGTCCACATACCATTGGCAATTTCATGGTTGAAATAAGTAAAGCCAGCACTGTCTGTTTCAACAAACTGCTTCAGAGGTATCCTTAATCTTATGATTTAGCTCATTTTCCAGATCATATACTGTGATGTGTGATTAGATTACAGCAGAAGTATATCAGCTTTCTGGTTTTAGAGCATGTGTACCTCTGCAATAACGTAAGACAGCATTATTTCAGTGAATTTTCAGTGCCATAAGTAGGTGTAGTAAAGAATTTTTCATCCAAGTGATGCATTTCCTAGCAAGTGAAGTTTTCTACAGGATCAATTCAATTTTCCTGAGATGTTTTTATTTTCCTGAGGTGTTTTTATTTTCCTGAGGTTAAAAAAAAAAAAAAAAAAAAAAAAGAAAACAATGTTTGGTACACTCTCTAAGCACTAAGAAAACATAGTGAGAAAGACTTAGAAAATACTTAAAAAATCTTATTTTAAATCAAAGTCTACAAGAAGGAATGAGAGGTCTACAAGGTTTCCCTGGAAAAGTGAGACGTCCAGGAATAAGATGAGATTTAGGACTACAAGGAGAGAAAGGAGAAAAGGGAGAATGTGGAAGAAAAAGAAATCACGTTCCTATAATCTGGTTTTCAACCTTTTAGTATATTTTTAAAAAAATATTTGTGTTAATGTCCGGTATTCTTATAATATTTGAGGAAACCTGTGATTTCTGTAAGTCTGAGGAGCAGAAAGATAAACAGTCTGTTACATAGGAGATGAGCTGACCAACAGAACTGAGGGAAAAAAGTGTCTGGAATAAGCCACTAGTTTATTGTTGTTGCTGCGTGAAACAACAAACCCTCTATCTCATATTGTAAACAGTATCTTTTCTTTCATTCTTTGCCTGTGCATTTGATTTTTACTTCAACTTTAATTTATTTTAAAATGTTTACATGTTTGCTTTTGAGAACTGGGCTTTTCCCTCTGAATAGAAGATGACTTAGGCAACCGATGACCTGCAGAGACAAGTAACTGCTTTGGAAACAAACATACAGGTTTTGGAGGCTGAACTAAATAGACACAGAAAAGGTAAGGTCCAATCATTGATTAGTTTTTTTTTTGGCCTGGTAAAAAGATGGCCATGCTTGTGATGGAGAAGAGACTGAAAACAGTAGGCTGAAACAAATATTACAAATTTATTTTGTGTTGCTTATGGGAGGTGGTCATTAATTAAATGCTGCCTCAGTGAATGCATCCTTCCTGAACAGGTCTGCCAAACTTTAAAGGTCACTTTGCCAACATACAGGGCAGAGACTTCATTACATGGACTGCAGGGTCAGCTACTGTTCTCTGGGTGCTTGTGCTCTTTAAGCATTGCTTTACATTTGTCTTACTGCCTCAGTTCTAGATAATGTCCTATAGGTAGACATGGATTGGGATGCTGTCTGCCTGGGCCTGGTTGCAAGTAATTTATCAAGAGATACTGTGTGAAAACTTTCAGAGAATGTCTCATCAGTGCACTGTTAGCCCTGGTACAAATGACACATTAGGAAAAGCACGAGGTCCATCATTGTTCTTAAATTAACTTGGGAGGAAATGATACAGGCTGCAATTTACAACATCACAAGCATCAGCAGAATAAAGTCATATAGCTCCAGACCAGCTGCTGGCCATCCTTCCAAGGGGGTGTCTTCCCTAGAGAAAGCACAGCTTTGAAGCTATAGTTGTGTGTAAAGCCTGAAAATTAACCTGAAATTGGGGCAAGAAATTGAAGAGCGTGGAGAGGCTGAACAGCTGGTTGCAGTAATCTCTGCAGCTATCTCTCTTTTGTCCTCCTGTGCTCATGGATCAGCACCCTAGAAGGCTGTCTGAAACCACTGTGGAGGTTTTACCTGGCACAGAAGCATAGTGCAAGAGAGTTATGCTGACACCATTCCCACAACATCAGTGGAAAATTTAACTATGCATATGTCCCAGTTTTTGTATCATTGTTATAAGGTGGTAGGCTCCCTTCACACTAATCCTAGAAACTTGTTAAAGACAATAAGATAAAATAACTTACCCATTAAAGACAGCAACTGTGTTTCAAAAGAATTGCTGCTAGCAGTTTTATCTGCTAAATGAACAAGAGTTTCATTTTTCATTGGCTTTTCATTAAAGCCTGTGGAGCATGTGAGCTAAATATTCCTACTTCTCCTAAGGTGATTTATATTTTCTGGAGAAATACTCAGTTTCCCAGGCTCGCTGAAGCTGTTTCTGCTCTGTCGGTTTAAACCCTGAATTTCATTACAGTCCCTCAGCTTTGGTTTCTGTGATAAAGCCGATGGGTACAGATCTCCTAATGGCAGCTCAGTTCCGTCGTATGATTTTAATTATCTGTGATATTTGCATTGAAACCTGGCAAGCTATTTTGTCATGCTTGCAATTTGAGTGTGAATTCCTTCAGATTGTTGCAGATGAGATATCTCACACAGTTACGATTCAGCAACAATTTAAGATTTATTAGTGGTGTGAGGTAAATCAAAGGTTAAATTTCATCAGCACTCAATCATTAACCAGTTTAAAGATTAATAAGGTGATTCAGTAGATTATGTTATGATTAAAACAATGACTTAATTACAGATTTGAGAATGACAATATTCACACTAAATTACTGTCCCAAATATGTATTTATAAACAAAACATGCAGACAAACAATCACTGCGGAAATACCTGGATACAGTGAAATATGTAAGCAGGGAGGCTAGTGTATAATTAAAAGTTCTCTCTTCTTCCTCTGTAGAGAGGTAAATAGAGGACACTAGCCTATAATTAGAAGTTCCCCCTTCCTTCTCAAGTTTAGAGTAATACTCACAGTGCATCGACATTACTCAATGGGTGATAATTGCGACTTGAAAAGGAGAACTTCTCCCTGGCCTTTGGTTAACTTCACTGCCAGACAGTCCTTAGAGACTGTCTTAGGTCCTGAGAGGCATCCCAACTCAGGGGAGATGCTGGCCACAGGAGAGCTCAGAGTCGCTATCTATAGGGTCTGAGATAACCGACTTTTGTCAGATACTTTTCCATTTTGGCTCACTTCGGATGATGTAATGTTCTGGTGCATTACACTAGTTACCAAAGTGCATCATCCTCCTTCAGGCTCCAACCCAGGTACAGATGTACTGAGTTGTCAGGAGGTGATTGACTGTTACTGTTGTTTCAAGTGAGAGCCAGGTACATCGAGGGGGTGCCTCAGGGCTCAGGTTCATCATAAGACAAAGCAGGAGCCAAGGATGCCAAGGAGGCACCTTGGACACTTGGGTTCACTGCTTTCACAATTCATTCCTGACTCAGCCTAGGTTGGTATGCAGCCCAGGAGGGGAAGAATGGCATCAAGCAACAAGGGACTCAGAGAGGGCAGGGGAACAGCACAGCCCAGGAGGGGAAGAATAGCATCAAGCACCAAGGGACTCAGAGAGGGCAGGGGAACAGCTGTAATACTGTATGAACTGGAAATGAAAAACATTAGAACAAGACTTGTAATCTAATTTCTTGTGAAATTACAGTTTTCTTCAAGTGTGGGCTTGATATTTCCAGGTGTCTATTTTGTTTGACTTCTATTGGATTCTGCCTACTGCTTGAACAAATAGTCTGTTTATAGCTGGTATTAGCTACTTCTGAAGCACAGTTGGGTTATGGATAAATAACTGTAGCATGATCGGTTTCTGGTATAATACAATTGTGTTCACTTTTGTTTCTAGATTTGATTTTAAAGAACATCAAGAGTATTGGTGAAAAAAAATATTTGTCTCAACCGGAAAAGAAGATAATTTTGGCAATGGAAAACCCCTTTGGGCAAAAGCTGGAAGTGTACTTGCATCTCTTAGGACTGAGGCTGAGAACACAGATTTAATAGACTTAATAAGACCTTCAAAGCAGGCTTATATGGGGATATCTGATAAACAGACTGAAGGCTGGTTCATGTATCTCAATGGAGGGGCTGCAATTTACAGAAACTGGAATGCTGGAGAACCAAATGATCTAAAAAATGAAGACTGTGCAGTAATAAAAGATGCTGGAAGATGGAGTGACATTAGTGTTCAGATTCATGTGCCTTAATTATTTGTGAATTCCTGAGCTGATGACTCTAAGAAAACCCAAGGTTTTTGTTCTTAATTATGTGGTTGATAGAAGTTTTTTCCCATAAAGGTGGCCTGGAGTAACTAGAACCGGAGTATATTTAGAATTGTTTTCCATTCAGTTTTGAATCTCCTAATAAAATACAGGTGTATTTTTTTTCAATCAATGTGAATTAAGTTGTGTTTACCATAGTGATAGTAAGGTTAATAAGCTATGGCATGCTCAGCAGACTGGTTGATGTACCTTCCTATGAGTTCCTAATAAATTCAGCATGAAAGAAGCATTTTTAAAGTAATTTTGAAACTACTGAAGCATCTTTGTATATTCTGTCTTTGAGCTGAGCTTGGAAAGATTACACTCCACATATTGCTTCTGATACGTTCTTTTATCATGTAAATAATGGACAGTGCATACTGTCCTATATTACTTCAATATTTAGTGATGGCTTTGCTCCTAGCATGCTTTTACTCTAGTTCTAAAATTGATAATGGTCACTTAGAGCCTAGAGTAGTATTTGTCATCAGGGTACAGAGGTCCATTGCACACAAGTGATTGCTGACATACAAATAATTTCTTATTTGAAGCTCTGGCTATTTTCATGCTGTTTTTTCCATGTGATAGGAAAATGAAATGTGCTATAACTACAAAGAAGAATAAAACAGTAAAACGCCCAGCCAGGTTGCTTTGTGTGCAGTAAAACAATCACAAGAGAACAGGAAGGATATTTCTGGCCATCTATAGGCATCACTTGAAGTACAAGAGACATAGATTGACATTTAAATACAGTAGAAAGCAGAAAAAATTTCTCTCAAACACAAGAGCCTGCTAGTGAAACACACTCCAAGAGGAATTCAGCTTGTGTAGAAAAATGTCCTTATTTACATGAGCAGGTCCTTAACATGAGAGAAGTGACACCATAGCCTTTTATGATTTTCCTGGTGGGAGCTTCTGGCACCTCAGGTGAACTACAAAAAGCTGAACTACAGACTGGATTAACAAGGAATAGGTGAATAACATGACCACAAAACCCCAATACTAAAAGTTTGACAATTAAGAAAAATGTTTGCATGCAGGCTTTAAGTTTTTGGCCATAGAATAATAGAAGATTTTCGATACCCTTACACTTAGTTTGAGATGTGTAAGCTAGGTACCTCTGCAGAGAGGACGACTGTCTCTACACTGGCAAGTTATGTGGACCCATAGGAACATAGGAACATATCTGTACAGAGTAACACTTGGTGCCTAGTTTATCTGGTTTATAGCTGTTATTTTCATTGCCTAATTCCATGTCTACCTTTGTAGGTAACAACAATTCTTTTCTCTGCACCAGGTTGTACAGGTACAGCAAAAAAACAATTACTGAAATTGGCGAAGGGTATGCATTTGCTAGATTATGATTTACCTACTGCTCTGCACCATGTTCTTCTTGCCATTAATGGCAATGTATCTTTGCAGTTCTCAAGAGAACTGCATTCCTTTTCTTCATTAACTGAACATTTAAAATTTTACCTGGGAGTTTTTAATCAATATTTATTACATGAAAACACAGGATATGGTGCAATATTTAAAAGACAGATTTGGGTTAATTTAGGCCAAGAAAGAGACATTCTAGGGAGTAGGTACAATTCTGTTGTGCTTCCAGGTTTAGGGATCAATGGTAATTTTGTCTCCTATGCATTTATTTGGAATGATTATGTAAGTCTACTTTGAGATTGTGTCCAAAAAACACTGTGATATGTTTTGTGACCATTTCCTTTGGAGCTGGACTAAGAGCAATGATGTATTGTGCCCCCAGTGCGTCAACCAGTAGGGTAAAATGACTAAACTGCTGATGTGAAAAAGATTTGGAGTAGTATTTTGCAGATGTGAAGGTTTGTGTTCTTTCAGCTGAATTTTTTTAGAAATACTGTTCCTAATTGCCCTGTCAGTCACTCTCTCAGGAGTCCAGCTCTGAAATGTAGTTTAGACTAATCTTTACATAATTTTGCCCAGCAAATCTCAAATACGGTTGTTAGAAATTCATGAAGCTTCTTGTAACCTTATGTTAATATTGTGTTCAGAGAGCACTACACATCATTCAGATGGGATCTATGCAAACTACAAAACTGTTCGCAGGTAAGTGCAAAAAATATTCTTACTCTAAAAACACTTGGAGTTCACGAAAGCAGAATGGGAGAACATTCATATTGTATGCTCCATTTTGTACAATCCAAAGTTAACAGATAACTAACTTTTTTACTAGGCTGTGTAGCTGAAAAGTGTATTTGGCCCCAGCAAGAATAGTATAAATAGCAATTTCGAGCTGCATCTTTTCAGTCTGCTTGAAATAAATGCCTGGACAGCTCATCCCTTGGATTCTTAAGCTCTCGGGCTTCAGTCTGGTGTCACTTCTCCTGTTCCTGGCATTCCCTGTCTTGTAGGTTTACCCTTGTGTTTCTCAAGGAAAATTGTTCCCCAGCTGAAACACCTCCTGTGCAGAAGGGAAGCTACTAGCTTCCCTTGCTTTCTAGAAAACCAGACTCTGCTCTGTTTTACTCCGATGAAAATCCATCTCTGGTGGAGTTGCCCTAGGAATGCAGCTGTGTAAGTGAAAGTATAGTCTGGGATTACCCAGTAAACTATCCTGTCCTGAACCGTTGTTTGGAGGAGCGGAATAGCAGTTCTGAAATCTGTGAGCTTTGGCAGGCCATTGCATGTGAGCAGGCTGACCTTCTCAGACTGGAAAAAAGTGCACAGGGAAGGAACAAGACCTGGAAATATAAAATGCACTCTTATTAAGTCATATTACTTGAAACTTTTAAACTCAGCAAGGTACTATCAGCTGTGCCCTAAGTTCTGACCTTTCTCACCGTGCATGTTAGGGACTCCTTTCTTCAGTAGGTGCTGAAAACAGAGGAGTTTGAAACTGTGTTCTGTTATCTTCCAAGAGGCTTAAATGAGCATCCCTGATGGACACTTTGTTTTGCATTAATTATAAACTAATCTGCGTTTGCTGTTCCACCCCTGATTAGAACCATCTCATTTGGTGCTAACATGACCTCCGCACAGCTTCCAAGTAATTCAGGATGAGAGCAGCATTTATTAATCAGCTGCTGGGTTCATGTTTCTAAAGCACACCACAATTTCAGGCTAAGTACAGGCTTAGGAAGAGCTACACTGTCATGTGAAAAAACACAACCTCTGAAAAGCTCTTTTCCTTCTCTTTATTTTTCAAGTGGCAATCTTCAGTGGGAACTACAACGTGGAAACAGGAAGCTATTTCAATCAGTAGCAACTTGTACTTACTGCTTTTTTTTGTTTTTAATTATAACAGATAAATACGGGGGAAGGGCTGGTAAACTTATTCAATGCTGCATCCTCTGTGTTATCTCCAGTGAATGAATATACCCTGAGGCACCTACAGTTAACATCTCTTTTTATGGTCTCTGACCCTAGTGATGTTTCTGACATTGGTAGCTTGATCAGTGCTTCAGGGTAGGCAGTTGTGAAAGGTTTTTCCTGGATGTCTGCGTGGTCTCTTTGTTTGTGTCTTCAACCAGCAGCACAGTTTGTCCCATGGAGCTGAGCTGGGGCATTAATCCTGCAAGAAGCTTCTGGCACCTTTGCAGGGGCAGGAAGACTCCACAGTATCCTCTTCCAGGGTGTTTAAATACAGGTGAAACTTCAAGCAGCTGGACTAAATGTGCAGAATGTGAGAGCAGTAGTCAACCCACATGTAGGTGTCTGATTTCAGAGAGTCTGAGTGTGCTCTAACATTGGGCTTCAGGGAAATGGGCCTGCGTCAGCTCAGCGGTGCAGCAGTTTCAGTGTCTCATCGCAGCCTTAACAGAAAATACTATACAGAGCTGCAAAAACTGCATATGTATACTGTCTCACAACATTCAAAACCCCAAAGCTGCCCTCTGTTCCTGTGTTGCTTTGCCTTAGTTTGGTCTCTTATTTACCCTATGTTTGTATATTCATGGCAACTCTATCATGATGAGTCTCAGTTGTTTACATCCCTAACTGTCCTACTCCATCTCACAGTTTGTACTTGAACACATCTAAGAGGTGTGCTGAAGGCAGTGAGAAGGGGAAGGAGGGATTAAACCCTCTGGTCTTGCTGTTTGGTGCAGCTTTCCCCATCAGGCTTTCTGCACTCCCTCAAGAGAGCTCTGGACAGTGTCTCCCCCCCTTCCTCCTGTCTCCACTGTTGGGCTGCAACTCTCGTCCGCCTTTGCCTTGTGCTTGAGATATGTACAAAAAAACCACTCTGTGCAACCTTCCCCCCGGACCCAGAATTATTCCCAAGCATGTTTTTCATTCAAACTTTTGTTTTGGTACAACAAGGGAAGCTAAACCACTGCAAGCTTCTTTAGCTGAGGTGGGCACAGCACTTCCCCAAGTTTAGTTGGAAATCCTGAAATCTTTTAAGCAACATCATAATGATCAAATTGGTTACTGTCATGATTATTTCCTACCTTGCACTTTATGGATCCAGTGACACCTGTGCAAGGGTGTCCCATTCAGAAGTGGTTTGATTAATGCTACCTTACTTGCAGGTCACAAACTTTTAGCCCCTCTTTCCTTTTGCACCCTCCCCACTCTGCTTAAGCAGCTATACGCATTCACAGAAGCAAGGTGAAGAGGGTAAAGATGTGAAAAGAGAAAGGCAAGCAGGAGTAGTGATGCATTTTTAGACCTTTTTACTTCTTTACCTTTTATTATAGAGAGCTAAACTGAAAAAAAAGGGGGTTATTAATGGTACTTCCTAAGCCTGGTAAGTAGACCTTTCATTTGTGCATCAAAAACTAGTAAAGCAAATATTACCATGAAGCCTCAGATTGGCCTCCATGTGCTGTTATTTTCTAGTACCTGCTATTTAACTTAAAGCTCCGATTGCCAGCATCTGGAGAATCTCATCTTTCATTCTCAAGACGAAAGTGCTTTTCTGTCTTTCATGACTAATGGTGAAAACTTAAAAGCCTTTCAATTGGAAAGTTCTACAAACAAAATGAAAATT